AGAGAAACAGGTTTTGTCGACGTCTATTAGGCGGCTCCTTTAACTTTGTGCCATTAATTGTCTGTCTGTGGAAGCTGCTGTTGTAATGATGATTTTCGGCATAAAGAAACGCAGTACGGGTGAGATTCTGAAGCATTTCACTCTTTGATGCTGAGCCTGTGTGTGTGTTACGTCGTGGGTAATCGTCAGCTGCAGTCAAACAGTCTCTAGAGAGAAACTGTGTGACACAATCGTCATATATCTGGCCCACGGCTGAAAGTTCTTCTGCCGTGGATTCAAGCTCGCGTGTGACTTTAATGTGCTCCTCATGTACCCACATACGTGTGTTACTACTACCTCACTGCAGTCTTACCACCAGCCAGATTTGACATGTCTTGCACCTAAAAGTCATCTGCGATTCAAACACGATGATATGACAGTTTTTATCTTATCAACATGAAGCTGACAAGGATTCTCGTCTGTTTCACTCTTTGTATTCACGTCAGACGAACTCCTAAATGAGCTACCGGCGATTGTAAAATGTCGCACTCACCTCCCAAAATTATGCCAAATTGCTCCTCGCATTTCAAAGCAAGCACGCAGTTGTTCTTAGCGGTTCAAATGTAAACACTACAATCAGTATTTTAATTCATGATTGCCAAACAAGCCGTAAGCTAATCACGGAAAGGAGATAATGAAGAAAGCAAGAAGGGAGAGGAAGACTGAGGAGGGAGTCTGTGATTAGGTCTCACCTCGAGATGCCTGTTTTGTCTCAGTGCTCTGGGCTCTGCAGAGAAAATGCAATGTGTACTGTTTTATCTGCGCTGAAAGCAGAAGACACATGCGTTAAAATCAAGGTCAGAGAAACACTCACGGTGTTTATGATCCTTCACTTACTGTAAAAGTCCTGAGCCAGCCCGGTTTTCTTTAGATTTTGCTTCCAAGGAGTCAGACTTACTTGTAATTTTGAAGGTCTTGAGCGATAGTTAAGTTGCAGTCTTGATTATTGAGCCCTTTAACACTGACCTACAAATTATTCAAGCATAAAAACACACTGAACTC